TAGATGGCGTTTCACGGCTTCCCCCGCATGAATATTTACGAACGTCAAAAACAGTAGTTTGTCCAGCACTGTAGATTTTAACCAATGACGATAGATTGCGCTTTTTAGACACGTCTTATTTATTTATTGAAATTTATTTGTCACATATCGTCATAAATTATAGCCTATAATTATGTTAATCTGGTTTATAAACAATAATACTGTAAAGTTTCAACAAAATCCGTTCAGTAGTTTTTGAGTGAAAGAGTAACAAACATCCAGACATCCAAACTTTCGCATTTATAATATTAGTAGGATTGTTATACGTCGCCACTAATGACAATATTTTTTTTCCCATTTATCCTCAGTAGGGACATAGTCAGTGTCCACAACCGGGAATAGACGGACTGCGGATACTATGCGGTATCCACGAATTACCTCAGCCTGTGCCTCAGTGATATCATGCGTTGCGCTTTTTTGAACAGTAGGATGCTCCACGACTACACAGCACTGTGCCATACTCGAGCCCCATATAGGACCATATAACGCGCGACGCAAAAGTATAGTCAGCGACTCAGTGCAGCCGGGCCTCCGAGATTAGGCATCAACCGGCTTAGTGCGCCGGCGGTAGCCAAAAGCTTAGGGGTGAGACGATTCAAGTGGCCGTCAAATGACCACTGTCCAACTAACTACAATCCGAGGTACCTACCGCAAAGATTTTCCGACTGTAATATGTTGTGTATGTTCCCCCTACAACTAGGTGGGACCCTGCTGGCAGAGCATTCCTATTAACTATTCTGTAACCACCTATTTATGGCAAATAAATTATTAGTATTATTCCTCTTTATAATATTAGTAGGTATACATACATAACTTGCTGTTCCAAATTTTCGTCATTCGTTTTCGTTTCATCGCTAAAAATAACTTAATTTTATTTTTCATTACGTCTGAAATAGAATTTGTAGTAAAAATAGACTGTAATGAAAAATAACAATAAAATATTTTAATTACCACGTGATCGCAAAATCTACCACCAAGATTTTGCGGATACACTATAAAAGTCCAGCTACCTGTCAAAGATCAACGTACGCGTGACACATGTCAGCAGAGCACCGAGCGACGTGACCTCACTCTGGAACGCCTCGAGGCGGACTGAATTTGAACGATTCGTGCGCGGCGATTTATAGTAGTTTTCAAATACTCATAGAAAAAAAATTACAATGAATTATTTTAAATTTCAAAGTAAATATTTTAGATAAGATATTCTTCTATTATATTAAGCTATTTTTGTGTTGAATAAAGGAAGAATATTGGTGAAAAAATCACTTTGATTTTTGGGTTTTTCACGTTCTTTTAATTTGTGATTTCTTATTGTAAAATGCTTAAATCTAAAAAATTTCTCAGATAACTATTTGCCCAAGGATCTATGCTATAAAAATTTCAGCTTGTAAACTGACGCTAAAGTGGAAATTTACAAAACCTGTGTGGACTTATCTTGATAGAATTCTTAAATGCTAAACTAATCGCAATATTTTCTCAATTAACTATTTAGACGACGAAATTGCCTAACAATTTATGCCTATAACATATTTGTAGTATTACTGGTTAATGATTGTAACGAGTTGAAAAAGTACTGTTTTTGCGCCAAACGGCGTAAACGCTCTTAAGTCGTTCATATTAATAATCGAAATGGAAACTCTACACAAAATTCATTTTTTTGTGGATATCGGTTTTATAGAACATAGTAAGATAAGTATATACTAAGTACTTAAAGTGAAAGCATAGATTTATTTTATTACGAAGTAAAACCAATGAGCATAACATAATATTTGAAGAAAAGCCTCAGTTATGAGTATTATGCGATGCAGCCTACTTAAATGTTAGTCAGAAATGAGCAAAAATTACCAACACCATTAACAGTCACATGCCATGTTCTCAGAACAAAACAAATGAACAATCGCAAAGCGAAGAACATTCTAGGTATTTATTTTCACATACAAACTTGGTACACTTTCGCATAAGTGCTTACTTACATTTCAGCAAGAAGAACGCAATTTCTGTCTTCGGGACTTTATTTAGATAGTTATGAGGTGAACATGTCAAAAATCCCCGCCCTTAGCCCTTGAGCCAGAGGGGAGAGGGGGGTTGGACTTGGAAGGTACCATTTTTTCGGTTTTTTGCTTAATCCTCATAAACTATGCGTCCTAGTGACATGCCTACTACCTATGAACTAAAAAAAGCTTATTACCTGCTACAAGTGAGATATGTAGTCAATTTTTCGTTTCGAGGCATCGGCTCTAGAAGGTCTGTAATATTGGAATTTTTTTTTCTTTTACATGTTAACATCATGGGGAAATCGACTAAATCAACATTGAGCAAACATTCTAGACATGCGGGACCATGTTAAGCCTAGTTCCAGAGAGGGGACTGCACCGTGAGTATATTTAGACGAACCACTTGGAGCCACTTTTGACCCCTCACCACTCAAAAACTATTGTGCATTAACACTTCAAATGCTCATGTGTTAGATTTGCAAGATCCAGCTTCAAATTTCATAAATATACCTCAAACGGTTATTTACGTCTATATAGGTAAGTATTGACGTCCAAAAATCTATAAAAATGCACATAGTAGGTACCTATTACAATATAAATTTTTGCACAGTAGAATTAGAAACTAAAGTTTTTGTAAATATTATGTAGCCCTTTGTTGCTCCTTTGATTAAAAGTTTTTAAGCTCTCTACATAATAATATATAAGAATAGCGAAACAATAACACAACAGAATGCAAAGCTACATAATCTCATTAATCTTTGTTTTAGATAATTACGTAGGAAACGCGAATTCCACAAACAATGCTCATTAGGTTAATATAAAATGTGATTCATTTACCTCAAACGAAGATAGGTAAATATAAAATGGAAATGCCATTTTTCAAATTCCTATGTTTTCCCGGTATGAAGAAACAACGTTAAGTTTTTATTTCAGTCAGGTCCAGCCATATTGTGGCAAGCAAAGGCCAGGCAAAACTTAGTTAAGAATTTATGGTCTTATAACAGTTTATTACATAATTATCTTTCTCTTAGTAAACTTACTTAATTTTAACGATAAAAAACTGTATTATTATAATAAGAGAGATGAAATAATGCAATACTTCGTACCAAATTTCAAGATTCTGAGTTCACGGGAAGTAACTACCCGTAGGTATTTATTCCCTTGCGAGTGTCGAAAATTTGCGGAAAGCGGCATTTAAACGGCTGTATCTTTTGATTACGTTGGCTTATAAGTTTGATTTTTTCACAGCTCCTAGGGTTTACGCGTCCACGCGTGCTTGAGTGAAAGGGTCTTGACAGACGGACGAACGGACAACAAAGTGATCATTATACAGGCTGTTAGGTAAATGGGTATATGAGCCGACACTAGCCCATGTTAACATGGTTATATAAATGGTATGGTGAAGTCAGAAAATTGATATCTTCATTTTAATTATTTTATTTTTCATACAAATCGGATTTTATAAAATTTATTTTGTACTAGCGGCCGCCCGCGACTTCGTACGCGTAAATCCCGTTTTTCCCGCTAATTCCCGTTCCCGTGGGAATTTCGGAAATTCCTTTCTTAGTGCACCTCTACGGTACCTAAGCTACGTCCCTTCCAAATTTCAAGTGCCTACGTTTAGCCGTTTAGGCTGTGCGTTGATAGTGTTGCCATATTTATCAACAGCGAAAACTTGACCTTCCTGTTGCAGTTATTCAACTGTCTTAATTTTTAAAATTCGCGGTTTTTTATGGAGCTACTGCCCCGTGTTTCACATAAAATATCATGCTTTTTATAAAATATCCCTTGAAAATCGATAAATTGCTTTAATTTAGATTCTGTAGGCAATTGTTTGACATGTCCTTTATAACGGACAGAAACCATTTAAGGGTTAGGCTGTGCGTTGATCTGTCAGTCAGTCAGTCAGTTTCTCCTTTTATATATTTAGATGAAAATTTAATAAAATAAAATGATGATATCAAATTTCTGACTTCACCATACCATCTATATACCCATGTTAACATGGGCTAGTGTCGGCTCATATACCTACCCATTTACCTAACAGCCTGTATAATAAGGGTTCGGTTTTTTTCCTTTTGAGGTACGGAACCCTAAAAAGGAAAATGTAGAAGTGCATAGTAACAGCTTTATTAATTAACCAGATTTACCAGGAAAATTGTGAGGCAAATGTGCCATATAGTAGGTAGGATACCTACATTCAAAGTACCTTTATCTGAGAGTATTATTTAATAAAGAATAAATAACTCTTTATTGTATTAAGACTGACAATAACAGGAAACGGAATAATTTAAATGGCTCAATTTAGGCGGTCTTGTGGCACGGAAAGTTTGTCTTCTAGGAACGAACAAATAACTATTATTATAAAGAAGTAGAGTTTGTGAGGTTACAGGGGGTGGTTGATCTCTGGATCTACGGAACCGATTTAAAAATTGTTTTACTAATAGAAAGCCACATCTATTTGTGAGTGTCATTGATAGATAGACAATATAAAAAAGTTTTTTCCTTATCTACCTAGATAAAATGTACCGTTAGCAATTTACAAATGTATTCAAATTTTCGACTTGTTTGCATAATTTATTTTACACGTTAAATTACTCGAACGTAGGTAGGTATGTAACTCTAACAAAGTAACTAAGTAGGTAATTTTACTCTATAAAAGACACTGCCTGCCCCTACTTGACAATGAAGTAAGAATTAAATATTGAAACCAATTCTAAGACGCGCATGTGCTTCTGATTCAATAAAATATGATACACAGAAATCGCTGTTGTCGTCAACCGCTCGTGAGGTTAGGATCGCTTTGGTAATTAAAAATAAATCGCGTCACATGAATCGGCTCGCGAACTTTGAACATTGTTACATGCAACAACATGTCAAACAATCGCTACACAGAACTCGTTCACGTTGGAAAATCAAGTCAACTTTTTGTATTAAAACATAACGTGTAACCAACTGAGTACGTACCTGGTGGATAGTTCCGTGGTTTAGTTATATTCCTAATTACATAACCGGTAATTAGAAGCAGCAATACAGTGATAATTGTCATGAACATGTCTGAGTATTATCGTTTGGCTAACGATCGGTGCACGAGTCGGCGTTTATGGAATACAGCGGGCTACTCTCCTCCGCTACCGACGCGAGACTGTGTTAGACTGTTTTTCATCCGCATTCTGTCTTGAAGTTTTGAAACGACTTTGAAAACGAGCTGACGAACACTTTTTTTTTTTTTTTTTTAGCAAAATGGTTCTATGGTGGTATTTTTTGTTCACCAAACATTCTAGGTATACCTAATTACCTCCTAAAGGTGTGTAAAAACCCAAATTAATAAAATAATAAAGGATTACCTTTAAATATTACTTATTATAAATCATGGCATTTATTGCCAGACCTTTAACGAATAAATTCTATCTACGTTGACTACCTAGGTAAGTACATATAAAACTGATTTTTCCAATAATAATGCAATAATAATTAGACGATGTTTCGTGTGGTTTCGTCATCAACCAGTTTTGACCCATTGAAGTACTTTTTGACCCATTGAAGTATGTTTTGACCGTCTCCTTTATGAATTTGAGATGGTATTTTTTGCGGTAACTTCCATTCATGATGGTCCATCGTTCTTGCCTGTAATGTAACCTGTGTTGGGCAGTTGTGACAAACTTTCAGCTTTTCTAAAATAACGGAGGTGTAGGGTTCACGGACTCTTGGTCTATACTTTTACATCTTAAGTAGGTATCTAGTATCAATGGAAACGATTGATTTCCGTGGAAATAATTTTCCCGCTCTTTGTCGACTCTCCGCACATCTCGCTCTCGCCTCTTCTCTGCTTTGGTGGAAAACGGCCTTAAAAGAACATAAGTACCTATTTTGTGTCAAGTAAGTAACGGTTAAAAAACGTATTCCTTGCTTGGTTAGTTGGAATTTGACAGTGAAGTAGATTGATTGAACACACTTATTGTACCTACCTACACTACACAAGACAAGAAAAGAAATAAATAAATATACAAAAGATGATGCACTTTATGCGGTCTTATCGCTATGATGTAATCTCTTCCCGAAAACAGAGGACAATTTTATTGTTTAGAATTAGGTAAACATGAAAGTCTGTAAACGTAATACAAAGTAAAAAATTCTTGTTTGTCATCATAATTAATAGTTGAAGTAAATGAATAAATTCGACTAGACAGGAACGTGTTTCTGATAACTTTACTCATAAAGAATTAAACAACACATTACTAAGTACTTATAATAGCTAATTATGATGTTTACGTAAGTTAATTAAAATAGTAAGACACGGGTCTTAACGCGATGGAACGTGAAAGTTTTAAATCTTATATTACGTAAGTTAACTTACCTAAATACTTCTGTTTTGTTAAACTTGGACCCAAGTTTACAAAAGTTTCGTTGCATAAGCTACTGGGCTATTATTTTATACGTAGGTAGGTATACCTATCTTTGTTCTTACAATAAAGTTCTTAAACGTTATTCATAAACCGATAAACTATTTACTTACTTCATTATGTATATAAGTAGATCCACCAATAATAAAATTAATTTTCTTAAAAATAAAAAAATGCACAGTGATTTACTTTCCCGCCTAGAATTTTTTTTGGTATGGTGTTTTACGGCTCTGGGTGCAGCCCACAGATATGGATTAGAGTAGATACAGCAAGTTGATCGTCAAAGCGTGCCATTCCGATATGTCCAAATGGACATACATGGTCGAGTGATGTTCATGTAATCTGATTACAACAATCGGTTACGATGATTTTACGAGGACAGTAGTACGAACACGGTAGAAAGAAGAAATTATTTACGGATTGAGAATTATAATTAACAGCACAAATAACAAATAATTAATTAGAATAAAGTAGCAGTAGAAGAAGTATAAAGTAGCATTGTTTTTAATACATATCCTGCGATGTACTCTTAAGAGTAAAACCATGGTCCCTGTATGTGGTGCACTCATACCGATCCCAAGGAACCGTACTTACTCATAACAATAAGACACACACTGATGCATGTATTCATGCACTTGACAAATTTATGTCTTGAAACGCTGGTAGGGTAAAAAAAATA